ATCTAAGCATACTAGATACTGAGTTTCTGGCAAAATGGGTTAAAGCGGACCTTTACACTCAAAAATAAAATTCTACCAATGCATCCATCTATGTATGATGATTAATAAAAACATAGACAGATCAGGTGTAAAATGTTGTGACTTTGAAATACTTACACTTGCAGAGCATTCCCTTCCTGCTTTGATGGTGCAAATGACTTCAGTTTTCCAAAGAAATGCACACTGGGATTGCCTTGTCATCAGGAGAGCATTGCTGGGAAATCTCATCAGTAATCTCAGGGAAAGGCATTTTCCTCCCCTGAGATGATGTGCATGGTCACATGTCTAGTCACATGTGCCAGAAATCCAGGAGAGCTAGTAATCTGCCCTTAGTAAACATGGCCACTGCCAGAAGACTGGGGAATAAAATAGAAATAAGGTATGCAAAGAATACAAAGCTGGCAATTATCTAGAAGTATGTGTTTGTAGATTGTCATTACTAAACATTTCTAAAGGTGTGTTTGTTGTTATTTTAAAGATATGGGAAAAGGTCCGCTTTAAGAAATAACACACATGCCACAAGTTTTACCATTGTATGATGTAAAAATAAAATGTGGTAACCAATATAAAACTCCAATTGACAATATTTTTTTTACATAAAGTATTTTCTACATAGACCATGGTATAATCTTTGCCATTTAAAGTGCATACAAGAACAAACAATTAATAAATACAAATCAGTACTTATCTGCAATATATACATGTTTCCCTATGTTTTACCCTTTAAAAATCTTGCAAGTACAGATGAATACCCACTGAACTGCTACAAATGGGGTGTGCTCCTAACTTCCCATGTGGCCTAAGCCTTTTCTAAATCTAAGGATCTTTTCACACACTGCATGTAGGGAAAGGGCTCTTTATTTGATGCAATTACTGGGTCATAACTACGCCAATAGGAAATGATCTCCAAGAAGCTGCCCCTGCAAGACTGTGATTATGTCACAGGGAATAATAATAGCCGTTTCTCACTACAGAAACAAGCTAAAATAAAAAAAAAATATATAGCCCAGAGGGGGAAAGAGGTTTGGAGGGAAATTTGGGTTATGTCGATATAAACCTTTTAAGAGGGGAGCCCCTGCTCAGTTATAGACCTGATTCAGTATGGTTGTCCGACTCCCTGTTGTAATGGCTTCTACTATTTTAAATGAGAATTTCACCAAGAACATTTTATATGTAGAAGGAAAGATTAGACCCTGACAGGCCTTTATTGCTATCGCTGACCTTTGGATCATGTATGCATATAAGAAAAATGAAAGCCTTTATCTGCAAATTTGTTTTAATTCAGTAGTTCAAATAATGAACTTAATAAGGCCATTATGGCAGCCAGGAGCCATGTTTCTTTAAAAGCCTTAAATGCTATTTAAACTAAATTACCAGCCCTTAGATATGTTGGCTGCATTTGTTTTATTTTTCAGGCTCTTTTCTCTCTATTTGTTCTAGGTAATCTTGCAAATAACACATTTCCTGTCCCTGACTGGCTAAGTGCAGTACACAGCTGTGTCTATATAGGGAGCTTCAAAAACAGGATGTCTTGCTGCACTCCTAACCAGAGTAACCCAAAGCTGGGTGGGTGCTTGTAGTGACCACGGAAGGCACCGTGTGAATCACAGAATAAAGGAATAATGTCACCAGCACACCAGTTTTTGTTAGTCAATGATCCATTTTAATGGCACATTGCCATCCAATACACAATGTGTATTGGATGGCAATGTGCCATTAAAATGGATCATTGACTAACAAAAACTGGTGTGCTGGTGACATTATTCCTTTATTCTATATAGGGAGCTATCCCCCAAAGTGGAATTCAAACACATCTGCCTTTGTTCATCTCCCTTTTATAGGGGATGGGGAGATAATTAGCTTACAGAAGGAAGATAATACTTCCAGTTAAGCTCACAAGTTACAAGGACACTGGTATTTTCTGTACTTGCTGATAATGTTCTTGGTCTGAAAAAATAAAACCAATGTAGACACCACATCTAAGGACTAGTAAGCAGCAAAATATTATATTTATTGGGTTTAGTTAACCTTTAATCACATAAAGTAAACCTGTACTACCACCCATATTCCATCACTCCAGCTACTTTCTAAGGAAGAAAATGGACATAGTGATGCTACAGGCAGCCAAGAAATGTACTGTTCCTAAGCTAAACAATATTCATTGAGCAGTCAAATTAAGACAAAACTGCTTTATCCTAATGTGGGTATAAATACATCACTTGGGTGAGGTATGGCGGTATCTAGGGACTAATGCATATTAGAGCTGTTAAAAGCAGGAGTAAGGTCTGCATTTTGCTGTATGGACACTTTCCATGATGTGTAAGTCAACATAGCATTTCAAAAGATATCCATGACTGATGTAGATGTGGATTTGTTTTCAGTTATTTCTCTGTCCTTTGCTATCCTGGACCAGTCATATAATTCTCTTAAAGCCACACTCTGGCTGAAATGGGAATGTACAAACCACCCCTAAACAGAAAACTGTGCATCTATTGTTATCTCCTACGCTGTCTGCCTTTAAACGATCCTTAAAAACTTATCTCTTCAGGGAAGCCAAACCCAACTCAACATAACTGCCCTTTTATGTCTTACACTAACTCAATCTAAACAATTCTTACCTTTTGTATCACTTGCTCCTCCTACGAGATTGTAAGCTCTCACAAGCAGGCCTTCCTAACCCTATTGTACTGAAATTGTATTGTAACTGTACTGTCTCCTCCATTTTGTAAAGCGCTGCGCAAACTGTTGGCGCTATATAAATCCTGTATATTAATATTATTAATCTATTGTCAATACGTCATGGTCCTTTTTTCTAATTAGGCTAACATATAGTGATTCAGACATGTCTGCACGTCAGTTAACTTTTGAGTACCTGCATAATATGTAATGTGATGTGAAATAGTACCTTATTAACGTTTGTGTTAGTACCAATTACTAAATCATAAAGGAATACAAATATAAATCCTACCTAATCAGTTCTCTTGCTTGATATGCTCCTTACGGCATTATTTTTGATTGGTTGCTACAGATTGCACTTGGCAATATATTATTGACTGCGCCCATCAGAAAAGACACAATACATACACACTGATGAAGTGATGACACCACTGGCATCAATTATCAGGAACTAATTTTCTGCATTCATATATTTATGTCCTTTCTGAATGACCAGTACTGTATATAGCGGCCATTAGCAAACCAAGAGAATACATTTACTATCTTTTTCTGCTGAAACCCCTGAAATAAAATGTATAAAGTAAAAGTATAAAGTACTACTGGTGAAAGTGGATCTGAACACAGGGGTATCAAATCACATCAGGAATGTGTGGAAACTGATGGAGCATGGCTTCATTCTGACTGTGCTGAACTCCTCACTGTCAGTGGAGTCTCGGTGCAGCATCCATGCACCGCACTTCTATTAAGAGCTTCATACATCAACTCTCCGAGCTACAACTGTGTCTGAGATTTATTCTGCAATAAATTACTTGAACTCAACTGTGGCCTTATAAAAGTAAAGTGAGAAATTTAGCCATTGGCTTACAATTACTTTTTTTTAGCTATATACACGGCTGTGATTGGATTATTGTATTGCACATACAATTATTACACAGACATACACGTATCGCCTTTATACTGGCCAGTGAGGTCACTCCATTTGGCAGCCAACAAAAAGATGTGGGTGAAAGAGGCAAGGCAATTATCAACCAGCAAACCATGTGCTAAGAATTTGCATAACCGGGCTTCTGGGTTTTGGGGTCCTTTAAAGAAAGCCAGAATCTGTGTTTGAGGTGGCCTGTTAGAACTGGGATCACCTTGCAAGTTAAGGTAAGCCAACAGGATAAAAAGATTGTTACATAAATAGGGGCAGCCATACTTTAGGTTACCTTCTGAGAACTCTATAGGACAAGCAACACAATGTACAGCTCAAACTATAAACTCACAGAAATGCCATCATGTACATGCAGTGCAGCACTGGATTTAACATCCCTTCTGAACAAAATGTAAGCAGATATCAGATAGGTGTTTACCCTAAAGCAATCTAACCAAGCTAATAACTAGACTGTGTATGGACACTAATGTCCAAAATCTAACCATTAAGATATAATGAGGGCACAAACACAGAAAGTACCCATAATATTTGTACCGCTATACCGGATTCCACCTGTAAGGGGTGCTGCTCATGAAATGTAATCATATCTTATGTAATCCTATCTCATGGTGACAGTCAGGTATAATAGGAGATATATGTCAAAGAGGGACCCACAATGGCTCACAACTGGAGTTCCTCCTCAAACAACAGAAAGATAGCAAAATAATATGCATTAAAAGCGTGGTACCGACTGATATGAAATTTAAGATGTTTATCTAGAATACGTATCTTTATAGACCTAACAAAAAGGACTGCAAAATGTAATCTTTTATTGGGCAAAAATGGTTGCTGGAGTTCCTCTTTTAAAAAGGGACACTGCAATGAAAACATTTTTTTGTAATCTTTAATAATTTGAAGAAAGGTTAAAACCTCTATTTTGCTGTTTATTTTCCTGTTGGAGAGGTTTCCCTCACTTCATGTGGTTGTCAGGAAATGTTGTGAAGGAAAACCTCCACAACAGAACCATAGACAAGATTAAAAGCCTGACAAACTCTTCCACTCAATCTAAAACTAAAATATTTTTTGCCTGGAGTTTCACTTTAAGCCCAGAAAAACTAAGCTATAACTCAGCTTTTAGCAAAATATAAGTATTAGAAGAGCAAACCACAAGTGACTGGTTGTAATATAATAATATTTACTAAATGAAATCTTACACCATGAAATCCCCATTAAACTCTCCATGTTCTCTTCATTTAAAAATGAAGACAAGTCAGTTTACCGTCATTTTGGTAAGAATATCCTTAAAGCCCTGACTTTACATACAGGGCTTCACTACTGAGGAGTAACGGGTCTACAAAACAACCCAACATACCTTTTTGTGATAAATACTACAAATCCCTCTATCCAGATCAGGCAACTTGATGAGGTGGCTATGGATCTGGCTAAAAACACTGCTGTCTGAAGAGAGAATTTCTGACACAGCATCAAGCCGCATATTGATTTCACTGGGGAGAAAAGATTAAAAAAAAAGATCATAGGAAATTTCAGTTAAAGAGGAAACCATATCTACAAAATAACAACAAAGGCACCTTTAGAAATGTTTAGTAATGACAAACTACAAACACATACTGATAGATAATTGCAGGCTTTGTATTCTTTGCATACCTTATTTCTCTTTTCTTTCCCAGTCTTCTGACAGTGGCCATTTTAACTAAGGGCAGGTTACCATATCTCCCTTTACTTCCTGGAACTCTGGCACATGTGACTAGGACATGTGACCATGCACAACGTCTCAGGGGAGGAAAATGCCTTTCCCTGAGATCTCATGAGATTACAGATGATATTTCCCAGCAAAGCTCTCCTGATATAACCTTACCAGGATGCAATGTTTGGGCACATTACATCATTTGTGCCAAAAGGGACCAGGAAGTGGGGAAAAACAAATTGTAAGTAAAATAAAAATATGTTTGTTTCGCTAATAAATGTAAGATGATTTCATATCAGCATGTATGCTGTATGCTAATGTGTTTTTTAGTCAAAGGGGTAAAAGTCCACTTTAAACTTTAATCAGGCACACAATTCCAAATGATACACAAGTAACAACTACATCATGCCTCCTCTTGTCTAATCTGAACATTTGTACAATGATAAAGTAGGTTATACTATAATATATATATTTGGTAAGATTTTATTCTGCTCCTAAATACAGCAAGGAATATAATGATAACAATATACGCATAAACCTAGGACCAAAGATGATGGCTCTACTTCAAAAATGTTATATTTTACATAAACCCAGATCATAACACCATGGTGGCTAAGTGAATGGCACTCTGTCTCCTTTGGGTCAAACCCCACAGAAGGCATCATCTGCATGCAGCACAAATGATCTCCCAATGTTTGCATGGGTCATCACAAATCACCAAAATGTTGTCCTTACAACAAATAAAAACAATTTGTGCATATTAACCTTTTCGTATCTAAGCAAAATGAAATCCTTTGTGGTCAGACAAATGTTGGTTTTCCTATGCAACATATTACTCAGCAATGTTTCAGTCATATCCCCCTTTCCCTTATTTCCTCAAGACTGTACATAGTAAGTTCAGCAGTCCCTCACAATACATTTTATTCCTCAGACTTTTTACTATTATTGTTGACTGTCTTACCATCTATCATATCAATATCTTTGGTAAGTAAGGTCTCCAGAACTGGACACGGTATTCTAAATAAGTTATAACTAAAAATCTATGTAGGGGAACCAGGACCTCCTTCCTCCTACTGGTAATCCCCCTAATAATACTCCCCAGAATTCTATTTGCTTTCCCTGGCCACACTGTTTGCTCATTTTGCAATCATCTGAAATTAGCAGCCTGAAATCCTTTCCCTCTGTATTTCTGACCAACGCTGTATTTCATCTAGCTATTTAGCCGTTTGCCTAGATCTCAGCTTTACAAATTGATATAATGTATATAATCGCAACACATTATGGATTTTCAGAGCAAACCTGAAGTCACATTATTATGTGCAAAGCACCATTGGTTTATTCCTTCAGTTGCTTCCAAGTATTAACATGCAATTTCAGATTCTGTATTCAGCATACATAGAGCCAGGCATGCATTGGTATCTAAATCTTGATCTAAACCTCTATGGATTAGAGCCTGGCCCCACCCCATGAGCCCCACTATTACCCAGTAAGATTATCCATCACAGTGATGGAGCAGTAGTGAGGCACAGATGGTGGCAAGGGCAAGGTCAAGCTCTCAACTACGGGAGCTGCTTAGAATTTGCATACCCAGGGGTGTGGACATTTAAAAAAACAAAAAACTACTTGTCCAAGAACTAAAGCGGGGGCCACATCTACTAGTCCCTCCTGACAATCTACTTGTCTTGATGCAAAAAAACAACAATTTTACCCATAACTATATTTAACTGTTATAAGAAGTACTTCACATTGTCTGACCAATGAGTGCTCGCAATTTGCGAGTGAAATGCAAAATCCATAGGGCAGGGCTCCGCTCGACAGCACTAGGGGGGGCTGATAGTAGTGATGGGCTCAGGCGTGTTCGCAGCTCCACGTGCCAAGCCTGCCAGGAAGCTGACAGCGCTGCAGTGCCAATCACAGGCATGGAGACATTTCCCGATCTCTGCAGCTGCGGACCGGGATAATGTCTCAGTACCTGTGATTGATTTTAGCACAACAGGCTATCTCTTTAGGTAGCCTGTCCTCCAATACTGAAGATAGAGCACAGCATTGCGTGCAATCTCCTGTGCAGCTTGGCTTGTGGCAGCTGAAACAGGAAGTGATTTGACTACTGTGCTACTGTCTGATCACACAGAGCAAATCGGAGAATGGACGTTCTCCGGTCTGCTCCCCGCTCTCCATCCTGAAGTAATTTTTCCTGGTCCCAGGTCCCCCAGAAGAGCGGGGGACCCCAAAAACCACAGCAGGGAAATCAGGGTTACATGCAGACTGCTAGAAGTGATCTGGGCAGCTGCTTGCCAGAGGCAGGGCTAAATGTAGTGAAAAAAAACCTGCCCGGTTCCCAGAAATGAATGATCCGGGTGTCGGGCGACTGGAATCGCACACCCCTGGATTTTGAGGTCCCAGGAACCTGAACAGCAAAGATGAACTGAGGTACAGGCACTTGAAGGCATTTTCAATAACACACAATTGGCACTTTCCCAAGGCTCAAGAAACCTTATGTTTACTTTGATTTTATTTAAAAAAAAAAAAAAAAATTCAATCTACAACCTGAAATGAGGTTAAAAAGTTCAAATGTTTCTTCGTTAGACTCATGGAAATGGTACTCAGTACAAAAGATGCACCGAAATTTTGACCGCTAAAACATTTTGGGCGAACATAATACTATGGGCAAAATACCAATAGTACCAAAATGGCTGAAACTATGGTGCATCACTAGCTTCTCTCCTCCCTGCTTGGCACCCCCGTCTGTGTTGGCACAAGCGGCAGGGATCGGAGGGGACACAGCCGATCCAGTTGCCGGCGCCCAGTGGGGAGGAAAGAAGCGGTCAGGATGCCAAGCAGGGTTGTGCGGGAGGAGAGCTTGGCCTCCTGTGACAGGTGGAGCAATCAAGATGGAGAGCGGAGTACAAACACTCAGCAATCAGTTCTGACCGCTGAAAGTTTGTAAATAGCTAGGCGACATAGTAAGGTATGTCCCCAGTTATGAATGAACAGGAAGTGCTCTACATCAAGTGTAAGTGCTCTTCCTGTTAATTCATGATTGTGGACATAATAACTGATTATAGTATAGAGACTAGAGAGACTTCCTGTTCATTTATAACAGGGGCTGCAGAAACAGAGATTTAGGACTATGTGTCCTCAAATTCTCTTTCTATTTTAAAAGGGAAATATATGGGGTCTATGATCACTTTCACCCAAGGACAGGAAATGTGTTATTGGCAGGATTACCAAGTCAAAATAAAGCGAATGCAGCCACCACATCTAAGGACAGGTGAGGTGCACTATATACATTTTGTTTGGGGATTATATACCCTTAAAGGTTAATTTTACAATACATTTCCAGAAAACAGGAGTTTTACTATACACCTACTAATACACGGGAAATCAATAACTGTAAAAGATTTATCAAGCCAATTTGCTCATTTTGGACAGGATGTTCTATTAACAGCTGCACCTTAGAAGTGAATATAATCTTTCACACCATGACACCAAGAGGACTGTGTTTCATTAACAGCTTTTGTTATAAGTTCTACAGCACAGACCTCATTTCTTCAAGTCAGAGCAAGGACAATGAAGTGAGTGTCTATTTAAAATCAAGACATTTAATGGTACAATATTTCACACTGCATCTTCATGAAATGTTTTCTACTCCATACTGACCAAACCGATTTCTGGCATTTCTCAAAAGCATAGATTTCCCACAAGACAATTTTTTTGTTTTGTTTGCAATATAATCTAACAAAATTAAACGTAGGGGGTTTATTCACTTAGCTGCCGAAGGCAGCCGAGTGAATAACGAAGCCAAAGTGAAGCGAGCCGAATGCTGTTCGTCTATTCACTTCAGCCTTGTAAGGCTGATTTCAGCCGTACATCGGCTAAAATCAGCCGTACATCGGCTGCCTTCAGTCAGCCGAACATGCTCTGCATGTTCAGCTCAGCCGAAGTGCACAAGGAGTTCGACTAAACCAAAGCTCTGACAGCTCACTCGCTGCCGTTCGCCCCTATCCTCATAGGGGCTGACGGCAGTAAGTGAAAAACGGCATTCGGCTCGGCTATTCTGCTGGGTACCTCCGAGGTAGCGAGCAGAATAGAAAACAAATTTTAAGAGAGAAAGGCAATTTCCTCCCCTGAGATGATGTACATGGTCGCATGTCCTATTCACATGTGCCAGAGTTCCAGGAAATAAAGGGAGATCTAGTAATCTGCCCTTAGTAAAAAAATGTCCACTGCCGGAGACTGGGGAAGAAAAGAGAAATAAGGTATGCAAAAAATAAAAAGCCGATAATTATCTATCAGTATGTGTTTGGTATTACTAAACATTAGTAAGGCCTTGTTCACACCAAGCGCGTTCCAGGTGCAGAGCAGAGCAGTTACAGACCGGAGCAAAACTGCGTCCAATGTATTACAATGGTATTTTTAGCTCCAGTTCACATTGCAGCGTTCAGTTCCAGAGCAGGTCAAAAAAACTGCAGCAGGCCCTATTTTACCTGCTCTGGAACGCATGCAAACGCATTAAAAACGCCTGGAACGCACTGAAAGCCCATTTTAAACTAGAAAAATTTAATTTTTTTTTTTTTAACCAAAAACGGCCTGGAACGCATCAAAAACCGCTGCACAACCCACTGCACTGCATGCGCAGAAACCTGAGCGGATCTGCTCTGCATTTGGTGTGAACAAGGCCTCAAAATGCCTTTTTTGTTATTTTAAAGATATGGGTAAAGTTATTCTTTAAGTTTGAACATCACCTTTGAAAAAAGTACAGTTTACAGATATTTACCTGTCAATGATTCATTTAACTTTTATGGAACAGCTTGAAAAATATCAAGAGCAATACACATAAAAAGTGATTGTGGAATCGATATTAAAAGAAAAATTTGAATACTCCTCACTGGAAAAGTTAATCTCCTCTATAATCATGCTCACATATGGTTCTCTTGAGTTGTATTAATCTGGAACAGAACTGCCTGTCTGGTGTCTATTCAATAATCCTCAGAAGGAAGACGTCATCAGACATGAACTGACCTATTTTCACCTCTTATCTACTTATCTGCATGCTGAACAAAGAGGAAAATTATGCATTCAAGGTGGCAGCATTCATGGGACACTCTATCAATCAATGAAGAACACCTGTTGGTGCCAATATGGGAAGCAGAAATTAAAGGTATCTTGCTGCTCTACTTACAGGATTTATGCAAATGGGTGCTTGCAGTGACCACCATGGCACCGTAAAAAATACTAGAAGATATAAAGAAAGTCACCAGCACACCAAGCTGTTGTGTTCAACAAATGTTCATTTTAATGACAACCAATGTCATTCAATAGCAAGTACTTTCGGGGCCTCGCAGGGTCCCTGTCATCAGGCTCAGAATGACATAATGTGCAACCAAGGTTGGTTGCACATTGTGTCATTCTGAGCCTGATGACAGGGCTTGCTATTGAATGACATTGGTTGTCATTAAAATGAACATTTGTTGAACACAAGAGCTTGGTGTGCTGGTGACATCCTTTATATCTTTAATATGGGAAGCAGAGCACAATAACGATCAAGATGGACAAATTAATAAGAATTCAGGGGTCAGTCAGCCCAAAGTGAAAGCCAGAAAGCAGTTTTAAAGACCCAGGGAACATGGTCTTCCAAGGGCTAGGATGTCAGGGACAATGTCTTTCATGTTCCAATGGAAAGAAGCCATCTTGTTTGCTATGACCTACCATCCTATCAGCACATATTCCTTAGTACATGCTTCAAAACACTTCATGGATGGCACATAATGATTAATGCTGATTTTAACAATTGTAAAACAAAGATGTATTTATTGTTTAAAGAAGAACTTGGCCCTTTCCCCCCTCCTTTTAGTTTTGGATAAAGTGGGGCGAGGTTATAACTGCCATTAGGCATAAACTTCTGTCTGCTTTTTTGTTGGAGGAATACCATTCACTTCCTGTCCAAGTGACATGTGACAAATACAGGCAGCAATAAAAAATTGTCAGAGCTTCTAGGCTTTCTCCAGTACATGAAAAACAACAAAAGAAATGGCTGGTGTTGCACTTATGGTCCTTTCCTACATGTTACAGGAAGTAACAGGTTTACAGACCCCCCAATAGGGCTGCACCCCAATATCTTCCCCATTAAACGTACCTTTAAATTGAGCAAACCTTTCACGGAACTTCACTGGCTAAAATTACAAAAGGCAGATGAGAAGGAGTGTTTTGTGGCGGTCATGTTGTAGAATCTAATATTGCTTAATGAGCTTTCCAAATATTAGATCAACAGCCTCTGCCTCATTTAGATACGGTTCTAAAATAGGCACATACAGTATATATATGAAAAACTACCTTGAATTCATCAGTGGTTGAACCACCCACTGCCTGAGCTTCCGTCTACCAAATGCAGTTTTGGTATGGTCCAACACCCAGATCAAGCTACCCTTTGTCTTCTGGTCAGTCTGAAATACAAAAGCAAGTAAAGCCAATTCTTAATAATAAAAGATCAAAACACTATATTATATTGCTGTTGAGAATTCATCATTAAGTTTACCTGACAGTCATTTCTACCATGAATGTTTCATATTTCATACAGAAATTCCCAGTTGTAACCACCTATACTTCCAATCAGTTTTGCTAAAAGAAAATCATCTATATGATAAGCCACTTGGACAATATATTATTTCAGTGGAGGTTTATTGACAGAGCAGTATTTACAGACTTGCAATGATATAGAAAGTAAAGTGCAATCGCTGTACTACATATCTAGACAGGAAGCACTGCATCAACATGCAGCTAACCATCAGAATTTTAAATGTTGATAATACAGCACACACACACACTATATATATATATCATATTTATATATATTTTATAAACACATACATAAGTACATACGCAATAAAGACCTTTGGAGTGCCTTCGAAGAGAACCTTTGTTCTCGAAAAACATTACAAGGCAACAATCTGACTGCAATGCAGGCATGATCAGATTCCTGCATATACCACTGTACAGCACTTTAGATGCCTAATTGTGACACGCAAATCTTGAGGGCTGCTTAACCCCTCCTGCAACATCCAACAGGTTGTTCAAGGTAATGGACAGCCCCTGAATTTGCTGAGAAAATGTATATGTGCATTGCAAAGCACCCTAGGTCTTAAAGATCCACCAGTGCTGGAGATGTTGCACCAAATGGCACCTGAATAGCAGTCAGGCTGCCCATTTTCAAAAGATTTTTTTCAAAGAGGAAAGGTTTTATTAAATGTATCAATTAATAGATGCAACAGCATAGTGCAATTCAGTTTACTGTAATCAGATATGTTGAAGGTTGAATCCTGACTGGGTGGTCTGTGTTACTGCAATTTCCATATCATAAATGCCCTTTGCACCACTTTAATTAATTCGGTTTATCAAGAAAACTAAACAAGCTATAGAAGTTGAGAACTAAACAATCTACATACACACAGGCTGCCAAGTATATATCCGCCCTCACCTCATAGAAGCAATAAACTCTTCTATCCAATGGCATGCTGGACTCGGGTCATCATAGACAAATTTTACAGTTACTGCATATATGATGAAGCACAAACAGCACTGTTGGCATACCTGAGGTACTGCATGCCCTATTGTGGGTGCCTCAAAGAAAACCATTGGCAAACGTTTCCCAAGGTAAAGCGGCAGTGGAAACAATGCTTTCACACAGAGGTGATTCGGTGTATGTGACAGGTGAATGCTGTGGTCAGACGGCATACGCTTGTAATTTGAAACAACTGGTAACAATGCATGACAACATTTTTAGCCCTATTTTTAACAAGTTTTACAGATGAGATGTTGCTGATGTTGATTTTCTGTGCAATTATGTCTGAAATTTTGATCCAGAAATGTTTGCAATTATAAAGTTTTAAAATAGGGATGCTCAGATACCAGTGCGGATACTTGTACGAGAACTACCAGGGTCACAGCAGTTGTAGCTGGGACCTGGCTCTGGCGCTCCACCACTGTCCTGAAATCATTAGTCTGTATTGTTTAAGAAAAACGGTCACGACACAAAAAAAAAAAAAAAGTATCAGTACTTGTATCTGTGAGCAAAAGTATCAGTACTTGGTCTGGAAAAAATGGTATTGGTGCGTCCCTAATCAGTGGCGTCACAAGGGGGGTGCGCCCGCACCCGGGTGACACCATTGGAGGGATGTCACACCCTCTGGAAAGCCTGACAGTTGCAGGAGAGAGGAGGGGACCCGGCGAACGTCCACTCCACTCTCTGGCGGCGGCCGGTATCACAAAGATGGCTAAGCATGCACGATGACGTCACAGTGGGGTGTCACCCGGTTTCTGCTCCGCGTAACACCCGGGCCTCGGAACGCCCCTGCCCCTAATATGTATAAAACAAAATCATACATTAAAACAGGGAAGCACAAATCCCAGGAGCCCCGTATGCTCCTTACAAGTGACAGCTGCCTCCTAACGTTTTCTATAGAGTTTTTCTCTAGTCTAGTCTTGGAGCTGGAAAAGTATCTGTACTTGTACTTGTACCGAGTACGGTACTTGGTATTTGAACATCCCTAATTTAAAACAAGCCAAATGTGAGACAAATTTTCCTGAGAGGGTACAGCAATACACCAGCACACATGCAAGAGTAAAAATGAAATATCAGATAACCATCCATAACGCACCAATACGATCTGCAGATGGTCTATTTCAGGTGTAGGCAACCATGACATTCCAGCTAAGCTGATACTACAAATCCCATCATGCCTCTGGGAGTCATGCCTGCAGCTGTCAGATTTTTGCAATGCCTCATGGGACTTGTAGTTCCACAACAGCTGGAGTGCCGAGGTTGCCTAGCTCTGATCTATTTAAACAGCAGCAAAAAAATATGAAAATGTTACGCAAAGCAAGCAGGGAACCCATGTTCCATTTTCTTTCCGGTGCTATAAGTAAAGGTGCTTCTGCTTCAGTTTTTATATACCTGCATCTATAGTCGTTGTTCGAAATGAAGAGCAGAATTCACACCCGACTTCCCTGCTAACCAAGTCTTTGCTAGAAGGATACAGTTTAATATCCGTGAGAGAATGCTATAACCTCACACACGCCGACAAGGTTTTCATAATGAAGATAAGCCGACAACAGAGCTGTCTAAGGCGGCCTTGAACACAGTACTGACACAGATGCATCAGTTGCTTAGCAAAAGGAACATTTTGATGAAATCTGCATCCTCTTGAATCAAGGTGTAATTTAGGAAGCTTAGAAAGTAACTAGCAAACCAAATGAACATGTTTACAGCAAAATCAAGACACTTTAATACAGAAGATACTAAGTTATTCAAAAGGGACTCGGATATTCACAATGCGGAGAAAAAAACACTCCACTGTTAATCATTTAGTATATCACATGCTACAAAAAAACAATTGCGCTCAAAAGTCTGCACACCCTGGCAAAAATCGTGACATTTTGGTATTATATTGAAAATATGACTGATACTGCCAAAAAACTGTCTTTTATATAAGGATAGTGATCATATGAAGCCATTTATTATTATATAGTTGTTTGGCTCCTTTTTAAATTATAATGATAACAGAAATCGCCAAAATGGCCCTGATCAAAAGTTTACATACCCTGGAATGTTTGGCCTTGTTACAGACACACAAGGTGAGACACACAGGTTACAATGGCACATCTGTGGCTTTTTAAATTGCAATCCTATCTGCGTAGGAGTACGGACACCCGAACGGATGTGCAGCTCAGGTGAGCATACAGCCGCGTACTCCCATAGAGAAGAGCAGGCTGCTGCGTACAATCACACACAGCACCTCTGCTGCGTACAATCACACACAGCAACTGTCCTTTCCGGGAACGGCCCGATACGGCCGTGCACACCACAAGGATCTGTATGGGCCGACAGTTAGCTGTGTGAATAAGGCCTAAAAAAAGCACCCAAGAATACGCACAGCCCAGCCTCACTTGCCTACCTTTCTCCCACTTATATACCAGTCTTCATTTAGAGGGTGCCAAGCCCTTCTTACAGTTTCTTGATCTAGTGTAGGGGCTAAGACTACGCTTAAAGCTAGTTTTTCGGCTAGGATTACTAGTTCTGGGGAAATTATTTTGGAACATGTTGAAAAGTATGTCCAGCCAAAACTTTTTTCTTTGAGCATTGTTTAGATTAGGGAAGTATTAATAACCTCCGTCTAGATTCAGTTGCTATATGGCTGTCATTGCTGGCCCTAATGCTTTGTCTCTACTTTGTTTACTGCAGAGTTTACCCAAAATAAAAAGTGTTATTTTCTGTTCATTATCTCCCAATCATCCGACAACTAAAGGGGCAGCAAACCATTTACTAAATATGAACCTTGGTTGAGCAAATATATATATTTTAGAAAAGTAAGCACTAAGTGAATGTCAGTTCGCTCCATTTGCTCTAGAATGAACACAGCGAGTGCAAACCCAGTTCTGGTTGCTAGGCAACAGCTGAAAAAGAAGGAAATTAAAAGATGCGATCAGATACTTACTTGATTTTGTAAGATTTCCAGATTTCTTAGCGTTGTCCCATTGATATTCATGCACTCCACTGAATTGGACATTGGCACAAACTGACTGTAAAAGCAAAAAAAGCAAAATGAAAAAACATAAAACTAATTGTAGAAAAACACGGATCCTTGAATAGCCTTCGGGGGTCATTTAATACTCATTGCATAATTTCATAGTCTATGTGTTTACCAAAACCATAGAAATCTATCTGCAGTGTTGGTTCACTGTGATCACACAGCAAAGCCTATTTTCCTTATCCTCTACGCATCCATGGGACTTTATATACATGTACTAGTTTGTTTTATTATACATTTTTAATTTGATACCATGAAATGCTAAAAAACACAATACACCAAAACTCACTCCTATGATGGACTACAATCTCAATACAAATTAGTAAACTAAACATGAGATTGTAGCCCAAAAAGGGAGTGAGCTTGGAGCTGTGGCTACTTTACAACACACACAGGGACCATGGGGAACAAAAGTAGTCACCCTCCAGAAGGAAGGACAGTGTCAGCACCAATTCAGAGATGATTTGAGGATCTACAGCCGAGTGATACACAGATAAGATACAGGTTTTTTTGATCGTGAAGGTACTAGAATGCGTTTGTAAGATTTAACTCCTGAACTTTAAATGTCACTGTCACTTTAAATATTATAATGGTTTGTGTGACAATTACAGTATATTGAAATACTGGATGAATCTTGACAAGCTCTTAGAATGAAATGGCCCGCTCCAAAAATCTAGATATGCGACACACTGTATTAGTTTTTGGAAAATCAATATAACACTTGATTTTTTTCTTTTTTAGTGTGTGTATCTAAAGCCAAAACCAAAAATTCTATATATTGCAGCTGACCAGGCCTTAAATGCAGTGGCTGAATTCATTTCCCCCCCTTTATTTGCACCTGGTAATCCTGTGAATGGCATGCCTTCTTGTCCCTAGGTGGCTACATTCACTTCACTGCATCTATGGAGGGAACCATAGTTGCCACCCAGGCAGGGCTATTATTAGTCACGTGAAAAAGTAAATACACCACATGGAAGCTGCTGACACTTTCAACATATCTGAACAGGCAAACTAGATCTTCAAACTCTGACATAGACATTGATTTTTTGTTTAAACCACTCCTCCATGCAAAATTCCGTTGCAAGATGTCTGCATGTTTCACTGTAAATCCACCAAAACATTTTAATGGGATCCAAAACGGGACTTTGTCTACTGCAGGCCATAACCCTCTATTTGATGTTTTTGTGCCATTCCTCAGTGGATTTGCTAGTGTGCTTCAGATAAATATCTTGTTGAAAGATCCATTTCCTGTTAAACTTCAAAATTAAAAAAACAAAACACTTTTATATGATGCAGAATTCAAAGATTACTCAATGACTGCAAGCTGCCCAGGCCCTAAAACAGCAAAGTAACCCTCAAAACCATTAAAGAATCCGTTAAGGTGTGCATCATGACGCATATTAACCCGCATCACGGTAACCTGTCAGAGTGTGTTGATGTGCGCAGTGAGTTGCAACATTCAATACAGAGAGCAATGCAACTCGTGGTGCAAATGCAAAACAATGCAGGTTGATGCGCGTTGACAAAGGTTTTGATGATGTTCTAATGATTTTAATAAGAACGACACGAGGGATAACATATAAGTGTGAATAGACCCTTAGAATGACGGCCCATTTACACCTATCAGTTGCAATGATGCAACACATCACAGACATGTCAGCAATGTTGCAGCACCATTCACTTTCAATGGCACCCCAACGCACTAAGTTAATGCACTACTGTGTGCTGGGGTGCGAGGCTTTAAAAAAAAATAGTGCATATCTATGCTTAGCACTATGTGCATTAACTCCTGCGAGTTAACACATCACAACGGACCGTCAAGGAGCTCAGAAGATGAACTCTGACTCTCAAACTGAAGAGTCAAAGCTGAAGTCCACCTGTGCCCAGGCTATGCAGAGTAAAGCATTGTATTTGAAAGTACATATTCTTCACAAGCAGCAAATGAGCTTTAAAACCAGCCATCCCTGATCACTAGCTGCATGTATCATGAAGCAATTCATCCTGGGAGATCACAGCAACTAGGGAATTTATCTTTAAAGGTCATTTTGAAGATGAATTTCTCCACAACGACTTCAGTTACAGAGGCAAATTGAAGCTTGTGCTTTTTCGGTTTGTTCAGAATATGTGCATACTTTAACGTGTATAGTCTACACACAGGTTCACTTTAAAAATATTTGCAAGCCCTAACAGTAATCATCGCTTATTTGCCACCTTTTGGTCTGTTAATTTTACCACTGAAAATGTTTTGTTATATCTGCAACAGATTACCTGTTGACCTTGTCAGAAACCAAGTTCTGCCTTGCACACTCTCTTTGTTATCTCAAGCAGTCTTATCAGCCCTGGTTACCTCTGCGTGCTACAGAACATACCCCCTTTGTTATAAGATAAGGCGAGCGGGAGGTGTTCTGTAGTTTTAACACACTTCCTGACCTAGAGTTACAGTGCTGCTTCTCCATAGATACAGTACAATGAGTGAACACTCTCACCCTAGCACAGGAAGTGTGTTACCGGCAGGATTAGCAGGTTAAATCCTGAAGAAAAAAAACAAACTAATGCAACGATCACAGCTAAGGAATGGTAATCTGCACAACTAAGACTGGAATGTTTACTTTTTTGTTCTTGGATCTAGATACACTTGCACTAGAAATTCCTCTTGGCACCTTAATTCCAGTAATGGACTTACTGTGCAGTGCCAATGCACTTGGCACAATTGTCACTTATGGCTTCAGGAATGCATTGTTAAAGGAGAAATATGAGCTGAGTGAAAATCACTCATCCTCATAGTTCAAACCGATGGGTGACAATGAAACTGTCACAAGTCGGCTCAATAGATCGGGAAGTGAGCGAGCACATATCGTCGCTCACTCACTCACTTCTCGATCATCTCCCTGCAGAGAGCCGTGACGGTCAGTTACGGTTCCCTGCAGGGATCCCCTCCCCGCTCTGAACCTCCAGCGGTGACTGGAGGAACAGATGGGGAGGGGACGGGCACAGCTGGCTCTACCTCTAGATAGGCAGAGCCAGCTGTCACTCACGCAGCTGGGTTGATCTCGACAGTAATGTCGGGATCCGTCCCTGCTGTGACGGTCTCAGTATACCGCGAGCTGTAGCTCGCGATATACTGTGCTTTGGGTCATGGGAGGACGCTAGTTTATGTCCTCCCGTGACCCTAAAGAGAACTATGGGGGAAAACACTTCCCTTATAGTTCTCTATTAAGGGAAATCACTGGACCTGATGGAAAATGCCAAAATAATGGCAGTATCAATTGCAACACTGCAGATTGAAACATTTCGTACCAGGATGCCATAATACACCACTCTTCAACAAACACTACATTTCCATTACAAAAAGCAAAAACTATACTTACTTTGGGTTATGTAGTATCTTTTCCAAATTAAATTCTTTAAGATATGTAATAAGTGCAGCTAAAGAACAAATCACGGTTCTATCCAGTCTCAGGATCCGAGATATCCTTTCAGAACTCGCACCTTGGAATAAAAAAAGATTAAAAAAATTCTTAGAAAACGTTTTTGTTGAGTCTTTTCAAAATAATCTCTTATCAGGGACAAAGATGATTGTCACACATGTGATGGTTCAAATCCCACTATTGGCTTGTTCTATAAGGGGATGTTTGTTCTTGCTTTTCAGGGACAGCATTTGCACATTCTTCTCCATGGTTCTTAGTTAAAGAGGAACTTTACCCATAGCTTTGAGATGGCAACAAACACGCCTTTGGAAATACTTACAGGGTTATTCACAAAAGGGTGAATGGTTTGGAGAAAGCAGAAGAAGTGAACAATCTAGGCCAAAATAGCGGATTTGTAAACATTTTTCCATTCAGCTCACTTTCCAGTTCAGCTTTGTTGTCCTAGATTGTTCCCTTCTCCTGCCTTCTCCAAACTCTTCACCCTTTTCTGAATAATCTCCTTAGTAATGACAATCTACAAACACATAGTTCTAGAAAATTGCCAGCTTTTTATTCTTTGCATACCTTATTTTTCTTTTCCTCCCCATTCTTCGCACAGGGCAGATTACTAGATCTCCCTTTACTTCCTGGAACTCTGGCACATGTGACTAGGACATGTGACCATGTACATCATCTCAGGGGAGGAAAATACTTTCTCTGAGATCTCAGACAAGATTTCCCAGCAATGCCGTGCTCATGTAACCTTCCCAGGATGCATCTCTTGGGCATATTACATAATTAATGCCCAAGAGGACTAGGGTATGGAAAAACAATGATTGTAAGTAAAAGAAACATATGTTTGTTTAGTGCATTTCACTCACCTCATAGTTCTAGCCGACAATGAGACTGTCACAGGTCGGCTCAGTAGATCGGGAGGTGAGTGAACACATACCGGCGTTCGCTCACCTCTCGATCCTGTCATGGCTCTCTGCCGTGACAGGGGAGGGGCTGGATTCCCCCCTCCCCGCCAGCGCTGACTGGCAGGTACAGCTGGCTCTGCCTCTAGATAGGCAGAGCCAGCTGTCAGTCACGCAGCTGGGCAGAGCCAGCTGTCAGTCACGCAGCTGGGCGGATCTAGACATAATTGTCGGGATCCGCTTCAGCTGCGGCATCTTAGTATACCGCGAGCAGCAGCTCGCGGTATACTGCGGCGTCTCAGTATACCGCGAGCTACAGCTCGCGGTATACTGAGCCTAGGGTGACGGGAGGACGCTAGTTTGTGTCCTCCTGTTACCCTAAGGAGAACTATGGGGAAAAGCCTTAACCCCATAGTTCTCCTTTAAGGATAAGATAATGAATACAGGGTTGCATAATTTGTGTATTTTATATCTGCTTCGGGTTCAGCTTTAACAGCAACATCCACCAAATGGAACAGAAGGCATAAAACGAAATGCTTATTTAGTGTCTCAGTGGTTTGATTTTCTGGCTGAAAATACAGCTTTGATGTACAGCAGCCGATTCAATCCCATTGTGAGTTTATTAGAAGTATGCTTTTGAACTTCTCTTTTCCAGTGTTACACCCTTATTTACCAGTCAAATGAATATAAACTGCACACTCTTCAATAATCCTGTAGTTTTTATATTCATTGACAGTCTCACAGACTTTTGTTATTTTAGAGAGGGGGAGTCCTTGTTTCAATAAAATCCTTACTAGCTGCCACCCGTCAACTCAATCACTAGCAAACTATGCATCGGAGTTCAAATCCCAGTATTATGCAGATGTTATCAGTCTTGAATTCATACAGCCTACCATAGTTTACAGCAAAATGCTACCAGCCACACTGCATAGGAACAGAAAGAAGGGACAATTATTTATTTGAAGTACATCTGAAGGCTTCTATATAACAGCCTAAATAGGTCTAAGCAGTGGGCATGGCTAGGCTTATCCAGCTGCTGACTGACAAGGTACAGGCTTGTGAATCAGCGGGTGTTGAGTGTCACATACATTTAGGATAAAAAACTCTGTTTTATTGTATACATATTAAAATTCCATAAGCGTAAAAAATGGTGGCCTCATATTGCCCCAACCACATTGTCCAAACAAGGACCCACAGAAAGGTAAAAAAACACCCGATACCTAATTAAAATATCATCATTTATTATAATCGGTATATATAATCCATTGTGTATGGGATAGTTTTGGGGTGTCCTTGACGTTCCCAAAGCGTTTCGCTCCCGTGGGCTTCCTCAGGGGGTGGGTCGGTTGACAAATTTGAGACACTGTTAAAAGCTAAAAAAAAAAGCAAAACAAACAAAATACATCAGCAAAAAGTAAATAATACTATGTCAAAGGTAACAAATGTGACCAAAATATGCGTTTACGCCTCGGGTATTAGAGGTTAGGTACGCAGAGAAGGAGCAGCAACGCACACACCACGACCCAAAAGTGGTGGGGAGACCACAGGAGGGAAAGGAGACAATACTTCCAACTCCACTGGAATGAACTGTAGTAATAGAAAAAACACCTACTCCAGTCTTCTGACTCACAACTCGTTTATTAAGAACGGGGCAGCTGGACACCAAAGTATACATACTTACTATATGTTCTAGGTGGTGAAAGGGGGCCGAGTATTACTGCCAATATATCGGAATCTATCAAAGGCATCAGAGCCATTTGTGACAGGTAGGTTGCCCAACAGCGAAGGTTTTGTTAGAGAAGTTTGCAGAGGATGTTCCTTTTATTAGTCTGTTATATCGATTTGTAACTGACTCTGGAAATGGATACCTTGAATCCATTAACCCCTAAGTTACTGGAGTATTATCTAGCTCTATAGGCATTTGGGGGGATGCAGTATGTATGCCAGACACTTGGGCCACTGATGGTACGGATAAGTTATGTTGATCTGTCTGAATCTAGACTTGGTATGTGTAGAGTAGTTAGTGTCCTGGGATATTGGAGGTCATTGGCCATTTTTTTTCTTCCCTCTGTTGGTATAATCTGATACCTTGGGAGGTCATATTGCTTGGATTACTCGGTTTAGTATGTGTTGTGGTTTCTTTGATAGATTCCGATATATTGGCAGTAATACTCGGCCCCCTTTCACCACCTAGAGAATATAGTAAGTATGTATACTTTGGTGTCCAGCTACCCCCATTCTTAATAAAGGAGTTGTGAGTTAGATGACTGGAGTAGGTGTTTTTTTTCTATTACTACAGATCACTTCAATGGAGTTGGAAGTATTGTCTCCTTTCCCTCTTGTGGTCTCTTTGCCACTTTTGGGTCGTTGTGTGTGCGTTGCTGCTCCCTCTCTGCGTACCCAACATCCAGTACCCGAGGCGTAAGCACATATTTTGGTCAAATTTGTTACCTTTAACATAGTATTTACTTTTTGCTGATGTAGTTTGTTTGAATTTGTTTGTTTTGCTTTTTCTTTAGGTTTTAACAGTGTCTCAAGTTTGTCAACCCACCCACCCTTGAGGAATCCCGCACGGGCGAAACGCGTTGGTAACCTCACAGACACCACAAAACAATGCCATATACATTGGATTATATTTGATTATAATACGGAAAAGTTGATATTGTAATTAGGTATCAAGTGTTTTTATCTTTCGGTAACATTGGACAATGTGGTTGAGGCAATATTAGACTACCATTTTTTATGCTTATGGAATTTTAATATGTGTACAATAAAAGGGAGATAGTTTTTATCCTAAATGTATGCGTCTCATTTTTGTACCCTAAAAGCCCTACCATACTTTCTTTCAAATTGTTTCTTGTATAAGGGTGTGGCGCAGTATCATTGGGTGAAGTCCGCCTACTGTATTCATTCAATCAGCTGATGGTGACAACACTGTTCTGTTCAGGAGCAATGCAGCATCATCACTTTTTCACAGGAAGCTGCATGGGGTGGACCTCACTGCCAGGTTGGAGACTTTACAGAGGGACTAGGGGAAAATTGTGAATAAGATAAACCTACAGCCACCAACAAGTACCTGCAGCATATTATTCAATGGGAGGTCAAAGTTGTACTTTAAAAGGGACACATAGCAGATAAATGGAGACCACCATTACTGAACTCTGCTTTGAGAATTGTAGCTCCCTTGCTGTCAATTTTTATATTTTGAAGCCAAAGCTGTCTGAATCACTGACATTGAACAATTATAGAAACAAGTAGTTCTAGACTTTTTCTTTTTTTTTTTTATATTCTAGACTTTTTCTGACAATCATTTACAGCATGCTAGCTCCAGGGTGGTGACTAAAACCTACTGAAGTCAGACATAGCCAAGCATCTAGCATTTTCAGGAGGCCTGAAATGGTAGCCCGCATATATCTAATCACTATACGATGTCAGCAGCATAGAAGTTTTTTTATGATGTTTTGTTGGTTTGTTTTTTTGGTTTATCATCAAGCTGATGTACTTTACATGCATTTAAATTATCTTGAAACAACATATATTTCCTTTAAATAAAACCAAGCTAGGCATAAGTCTTCCAAAATGAGGACAGAGCATTATAGAACAGTAACAGATTTTTCTACTCAAAATTCAGTGGTGTAGATTAGTCACGGATCAAAATTTTCTCTCTAATAGCTTTCAGTGACTTACAGTACACCATGGCTCTATACATTCTACATAAATCCCGTTTTAATTATTTAAAAATAGAAATATTTTTAAGTTGCAAATGTTTAAAAAAAACTTCAACTCTGATATGAAACATTCAATGGTTCTCAAATAAAAACATATTATTTTAAGGCTTTTTATTATTTTTTGATATGTTGAAAACCTATATGAATAAAGTGGCCAAACATTTACCTCTTCAGTAAAGTAATTATTCGCCAGTCCTTGCCAGACAACAAGGTGATAAATGGCTTTCATCTTCCCATTCTGTTTTATGACAGCATCATAAATGTCATGTGTAAAGGCCAGTAACTCAAAGCAATCAAAAGCTATGGCTTAGTTAAAAGGAAATCTCAAACTATTTAGAATTCCAGTAAATACCTTAGAAAGAAGCAGAAAAACCCCAGTGCAAACAAATTCATGAGCAGCATCCACCATTCCAAATATACTACCAAAACTAGTATTCTTTCATTTCTTGGAAATTTGGGGTCAAACCATTTTAATAAATGGTGCTCCTGCTATTAAGATTCTTGTGCAGGAACTTTCTGTTATAGGGCGACAACACTTTGTCCCTGTATCCCATGGTGTTCCTGTGTTGCCACCCTGTTACACAGACTTCCTGTGCAGATCACGAGTGGTCATTTTACGCACATTCTGCAGGTATGGGTCACTGTTGTAAACTGCAGGAAACCCACAATGAGAAATGCTGTTGCTGTATGGTATGCATGTACACAGGCCATTAGACTGCTTATCGGGCTACAAATCAACGTGGTTCCTCATTATGTGATCACTATTGTGACAGACTCCCTGATATCCTGACTGGATATCTCCGTCTTAAGTCTGTTCCCTGGGTGCTGGAACCAGAAGCAAGTGAATATAGCATGGGCTAACCCCAAGAATCAGACAGCACTGACTTTGGAATGGAAACATGAACTGGTTTATTGAAGAAAGCACACATAGTTTATACCTCACAGAATCAGATAAGAGTTCAGTGTGTTACCTTGAACAATTCCCTCCCCTAGACAGCCGGGTGCCTGCATTAGGATTTCATAAGCACAGACACTCTTTGAACCTAATGAATGTCCTTAATTAGATGAGAGCTTGATCACATCAACCTAAACAATGACCACTCCAGACAGCCTGCTGCCTTCACAAAAATATGTTTAGCAGAGATGGTTCAAATTCAGTCAAATAGTAACTTGCTCTCTCTCTAGATAAAATATTAAACAGGAAAACACACACAGCAAACAAAGTTCTCCGGGGTAATAAATGACAGCCAATTATGGCTTTCACACATAGGCTAGTTCATTCCCAATATAAAACCTAGACATGCCACAGCAGTTTAAAGATCAGGCTTTTCTTTATTATCACCTACAGGGTTATTCACAAAAGGGTGAAGAGTTTGGAGAAGGCAGGAGAAATGAACAATTTAGCACAACATAGCTGAACTGGAAAGTGAGCTGAATTGGAGAATTTTTCAAAAACAGCTATTTTGGCCTAGATTGTTCACTTCTCCTGCCTTCTGCAAACCCTTCACCCTTTTGTGAATAAGCCTGCTAGTAATCCTGTGAATAACATTTCTTGTCCTATGCTGGCAACACTCACTCCACTAGAGTGAGCAATGGAGGAGCAATGTTGTCACCCTCTCTTGATTTAGACTACAAACATGTCCTCCACTGCTCATTATATGGGAATACAGAAGAATTCATAATTTACAGAAGATAGCTTGGAAGGAATATAAAATTGAGACTTCAGTTTAATTCAGAAGAAGGACAAAGGACAATTCAAAAAGATACTACATTTCTGTCAAGGTATTTTCTAAGAACAGGTAAGCTGCAGTATATTACATTTTGTTCTTGGGTTTGGATCCACTCCAACCAAGGCATATGGACATTGATAACACTGAAAATGCTGAATACACACACATGTGGAATGCCTTTACCAACAATCAGAAAATGGGTGCTCTCTCTGGTGCTCTCGAGAAGAAACATAGACCTTAGTACTAGGGATGCACCGATATATCGGCCGCCGAAACATATCGGCCGAACATGGCACATTTGGCATAATGCCGAAAGTGCCATTTTCCTGCGGATACAGCGTCGCATCCCTGCTTTCTTTCCTCCCCGCTGGGCGCTGCTCTGTGTCCCAGCGGGGAGGAGAGAAACTGTGACAGGCTGCCGAGCGCTGCAGGAAAAGAGCGATGTGAGCGACCTGCGTCTCCTCCCACACTGCTCAGCCTCCTATCACAGTCCGGAGGTGCGGTGTGTGGGCGGAGACAGGCCGCGCTGTCACAGGAGGCTGAGCTCTCCTCCCTACATCGCTCACTCAGCCTCCTGTGACAGCGTATCAGAGAGGAGCAAGTTACAAACACTCAGCCATCAGTGATTGCTGAGTGTTAGTACATAATTGAGGACAGAGTATGTTTACTATAGACTCAATTATGAATGAATGGGAGTGATCTACATCACCCCCTGTTCATTCATGATTGTGGTTATAGTAAACACACTATTTCCTCATATTATCAATGAACAGGAACACTCATATAGTATTCCTGTTCATTGATAACAGGGGACACAGAAAAAGAGATATAGGACTTTGCGTACTAAATCTCTTTTTCGGTATCAGTTTCGGCCTGAAAAATTAGTTTATTTCGATTCGGTTTAAACATTTTCATTTCGGTGCACCTCTACTTAGTACACCTGTACACATTTCTGACTTTGACTAGAGTGATATTTTAAGCAAGTTCCATATTGCTGTATACCAAGGCAGAACCATGGTATTTGACATTTTGTTACATTTAAATCACCAAAGAATAAAGATTCTCTACCTATACATTTTGGTCCCTTTCCAAAAATGTAAAAGAAGCTGATACATCCAGTTCAGTAGGGGTTCACTGAAACATGCCATTAACCACACAACTGAAAGAATATTGAATTACTTCATGCATCTGCTTGCTGCAAAGTCTACGTTCTGTTCATTTCTGGTATTTGTCCAACAGGGACTAAACTATATAAAAAAAGTGTTAATATTTATATTCTGGGGCTGCACACTGGGATTGTACTATGTTATGGATGCCAAGTAATACAATAGGACAATTACATACAAAAATAACAATGCAGACAAAATATGTTCCATTTATCAAATTCAACATTATGTCACCATGAATAGTGAAACAACATTAACATTGATCTGTTAGAGCAGCTAGAAAACAATACACTATCCTTAGAATAATTGAAATGTACAACTTGACAGGTTGAAACGATCGGTTAATAACAAAACAGAGTGGACTAAACGACTAAACATAAAACAGAAACTAAAATTTAGTTGAAAACATTCACATTATCTTCAATTTTGGGGGAAAGAATAGGAAAGCGTTAGCATGCCTGTTGGGTTTTCCTTGACCCCCGTAGCTCCGCTGAGAGATTCCCCCTCACTTTCTGTTCTTAGGACAACCTTTTACCAGTGGAAGTGAGAGAAAATCTGCAACAGGAAAACAGACAAAATAAGGTAACAGAGGTTCCAGAATTCCCCTACCTAATTAAAAAAACTAAAACATTTTTACTTCTGTCTGTGTTGCTGTTAGAGAGATATCCCTTCACTTCCTGTCCGGAGAACAACCTTTTTTTTTACCAGATAGGACAAGAAAGACTTGATGGCAAAAAAAAAAAACCTGACTGAGTTTTAGTCCTTCTCAACTCTGTCTAAAATTAGGGGGGAAAAAAAAAAGAGTGATGTTGAGCACTTCCTGTTCATTCATAATTGGGGACACTATATCTGAATACTATTTCCTCAGTTATTTACAAGCATCCAGTGTCCATCCTGAGCCACTCCGCCCCCTCCCTGCTCTCCATCCTAACTCCTCTTGGCTGTCACAACTGATGATCTCTCCTCCCACCTGCAGGGGTCTGTGTTCCCTCCGATCCCCGGGGGCAGCAGGGATCGAAGGGGAGTGAACGCAAATCAACTAATCGATAAATGAGAATCATAGACAACAATTCTCATTATTGATTATTATCAACAAGATTGAATAGTTGTTTCAGCCCTAATTTTACCTATGCATTTACCATACAACTGCATTAAGCTGGCCATAAACTGCTTTATTTTGTTTCGTTTAACCCACAGGCTGAACAAAAAAAATACAGCAGATTTGTCATCAACACTACTGCACAGTTTGTAGTCTCAGTATTCACTGATGGCAATCATAATAAATGATCTACTCCACTTGTCACAGGCAGCTACTTCTGTGCTAAGACCAACTCACTTTCCCCAACAGACAGATTCTAGAGATCAATCAAATGCATATGCAACACTCTGAACATCTCTTAATGTTAAACCACCCCATATATTGAATATTATTTTAAAAAATGCATGGGAAATTATCAAAAGTATCAGGGCCAAAAACACAATACATTCGCATCTGCACTTCAGTCGTGTCTCCTATGACCATTAAAAGCCACAGTAGGAGGATCAATTCTGAATCATTTCGTGAAAATTAGCTGAAATCAGTCTGTGTCTTTAAGAATAAGAATCCCCCAGAAGTAGCACATATAGTCTGACCATAGTAGATTATACTCAGGAGCCAGAAGAAGTGTAGTATCACTGGTCACTGGAATTTACATTTTTGTAACAGGCTTGAAAATATTATTGGACAGTTCTGCTGCCTCCGACTAACATCAGGACTCTCAGAATTTAAATGTACCTGAACCACAACTGTAGAATTCATTGATGAGCTGAAACGCTTGACTGTATTGAAAATGAAGACTATCCATTCTCTCAATTCGTATTCGGTCATCATCTCGTAAACTAAAACAAAGCGAGAGAAAATTAAATGAAATATCAAAATTTGCTTAAGGAACAAATACTTGGAAAAAAGTTAAACTTCAATACAAGATCTACATGACACTAAAGCAGAAATAAATACAGGTAAATACGTTACACCACACAACCTCCACACTCCACTCCTGCTGTTCTATCACCTTAGCTGGTAACTTGTCAGTAATGTCACTCTACCTTCCGCCGCCATCCCCTAAGCGCAGCTATGGTGGTGGGACATGTGCTTTATGTCAAACGGCGGTGTCCAAGCAGAGCCAAACTGATGAGATCATGTGACTATCGCCCACTGCTGTGGTAGGGTTTGAATGTCAATAGCTGGAGGGAACCTGCGGCACGTGAGAGGTTTTACACAGTTTATGCTATAAGCTTAGTTACAAATTTGGGAAATACAACAGCATATTACTGACATTCTAATGTTATGTCTTATGAGCTGTAGATGGCACTGTAGTGCACTGCTAGTCTATGTTAGTTTTCTATATGATATATACAGGAAGTTCTCCCTGTGTGCTGTATTCACATGTAATGTTCTCCTAAGCAAGTAAAACTTAATCCTGCATTCAAGATCTCAGTACTTCATCTAAACACATAGCCAACAGAAAAAAAACCAATGCAATAAAACAATAGGTTATGATTTCCAATCATTTTAATTAAGTTGCTCCATCACTGGCTTTAAACCCTCCAGATGTCACTCGCTAGCCAAGTAGCAACATCTCACTGGCCCAAGCTAGAAAGGGGGCAACGCCATAGCAAAAGGTTAGTGGTTTGTTAGATATGTCACTGGAGAGTTGGTGCCTGCAACGAGATCACTTGTGTGACATTGGCCTATGTATGGATTGTGTTCCAGAAACGCTTCCGTATTTCACATTTTCCATTAACAACTTTCCCACTGAAAGAAGAGAAACTGCTAAATCCGTGTTCCACACATAAAGTGTCATTCTATGTAAACATTATAGAAGTGAAGAAGACGACTTGCCATACACAATTCTATGTAAACATTAAAGAACTGAAAAAGAAGACCTGCCTTACACTGTGTATCTGCCACCACATGTCAAATTGGAGGTCAGATTTCAGTAGGAACAACCTGTAATGACTGCACAGTGTCTGTCAGCTGCTTGCCATCAAAGCAAATGCATACATTATAGAAGAACTCCAGGGAAAATTATTATTAACCCTTGCAGTGGGGGTACCTCCACATTGCAAGGGTTAAGTGCTTGTTTTGGTCTAGGGAGTAAAATAAAGTTAAACTCACCTGATCCGCGGAGCTGGCTGTTAGACCAGTCCCTTCAGTCTCACTCCCCCTCCGCTGCAGCGGTTTATGGTCCCAGAGTCATCACATTCTATATACAGTCTATTGGGGGGCTCAAAATATGGAAATACATAAGGGGGTGCGCCGCTGGCAGGACCAGGGCGGAAAGTGCCGCCGCTTCAGCAGCGGCGATCTCCCGTTCTGCTCTCCCCCCTTATCTTCTCCTCCTCGGCCTCTCTGTAGCTGCAGTGGCCGAGGAGAAGACAAAGGAGGGAGAATCAGTTCAGCTGTCTGCCCATCACACTGGCCACCTGCAACTTCCTCCGCCTCCGTTACATGGAGGCAACATCGCTGCACCCCCCCCCCTCCCCCCCTGGAGAAGAAGAGGGCACCTGAATCAGATCAACTATGCACTGCAAGTCCCTGTTTTTTCTGCTTTACACCACTTAGCTCTGCACTCTGCGTTACATTACTGACCTCTGTACTGGGCTTCAAGGGTACAGTGCAAGGGTAGCCCCACAGCAAGGGTCAATAATTTTCCCTGTTGTTCTGCTTAATGTACCTCAGGACAGGACGTCATGCAGGGAAAGGTTAATGCATAGATTGTGGGCAGGAAAGGATTAAAGTGTATCAATATCCAAAATGTTTTTTTTTTCTTTTTCTGTTTTGGATAGAATGGGGAAAAGTTAGAACCCCTGTCAGTTTTTTTTGCTACCTGGGGCTCTGTTAAAGGAGAACTATGAGGTGAGTGCTTTTCACTCACCTCATAGTTCTAGCCGACCTGTGACAATGAGACTGTCACAGGTCGGCTCAGTAGATCGGGAGGTGAGCGAACACATACCGGCGTCACTCACGCAGCTGGGCGGATCCCGTCCTCTAAGTCGGGATCCGCTCCAGCTGCGGCGTCTCAGTATACCGCGGTATACTGAGCTTAGGGTAACGGGAGGACGCTAGTTTGTGTCCTCCCGTTACCCTAAGGAGAACTATGGGGAAAAACACTGACCCCATAGTTCTCCTTTAAGAGAGATTTCCCATAATTTTTTTAATTTTGTGAACACCATTTACCAGACAGGAAGTGAGTCAGGAAAACCGACGATAAAAAGCTGACAGAGATTCTATAATTCTGCTACTTAACTTTAAAAAAAAAAGAAAAGCATTTTCTCCCCTCAGTTCCTGTACTGGGGACAACATTTTTACCAGAGAGGAAGTGAAGGAATCTCTCTAACATAGCCTCCTAAGGCAGTATAACCTGATGGGTGTGTTAATCCTTCCACACTCTATCAAAAAAAAAGAGTAGATATATTTGAATGTACCTTGAGTAATGGTGGATGACAGTGGTGGTCTCCTCCTGAAAATGCTGCACTATTTCTACATCACAAACCTGGAATCATCATGTAGCACAAGTGTCATAAATGTGTCAGCATCTCTATACTTGTTCCCATAGCAGACTCATTCAGGGGAATTTATCAAAACTGGAGCAGACAGAATCTGGAGCAGTTGCTCACGGCAACCAATCAGTTTCTCTCTTCAGTTTGTTCAGTTAAAGCTTAGAAAATTAAAGAGAAGCTGAATGGTTGCCATGGGCAACTGCTCCAGTTTTGATAAATTCCCTCCCACTGTATTGCTAAATGAGCATAAACGACCACAACCACTGAAGTAGTATTTTCAAAAAGAGAGGTCAGCAATGGCAGCCTACAAATTTCTCTCACGAGAGGTTTGCTTTAATTAATGTGTATTCTGGTACAAATAGTAAGCTGCATGCATTCATCTCATTTAGGTGATAGTTCCTATTTAATGTGAAATGAAAAGCAGATGGAGATTATTTAGGCATGTCTGTGTGAAACGTACAAAGGTCGATGAAGTAACAGTGGAAAGGGCAGCCTAAAAGTATTTTGTGTATAAACACTTCATGGTCATAGACATTTTCTAATTCACAGCTTGTCTCTATATAGTGTTCTGTAATAACTTTTAGACATGAATGAATTTTACAAGTTAATGTGATTTATATTTGAAAGAAGGCGTTTATATAAATCACTGCTACGCTAGCTATGTATAGGACAATTTACATGGCTGTAACAAACCTTCAATCATGACTTAATGATGACTGGTCTATGATCAGCGATGAGCAGTTAAATTTTTCCACCATGTTGGATAGCGCAGGATGGACAGGAAGTGATAAAAAAACCTCTCCAGTGGTGACAACCCAAAAATAAATAGAATGTTGTTCTTACTGTAAAATCGTTTTCTTGGAGCCCAATGAGGGACACAGCTCTAAAGAATTCTGAGATGTAGGTTTATGCCACTGCCTCCAGGAAAATTGTCCATTACTCTAAAGGTGCCCATACACTGCACGATTCTCGTACGAGAATCGTGCAGTGTATGGAAGGCGTGCGACCGTTTCTACTGTACGGTCGAAGGTCTTCAGTCGAACAAGCAGGCTGGAAAACCCGCCGGGAATCGTACTGCTTGTTCGACAACTGCCGAACGGGCCGGTGTGCGCACACTGCCCGTTTGCAGTCATCGCAAGCCCGCCCCTCTGTGCAGTCATCTCAAGTACGATCTGCCTGTCCAAGATGGGCCGATCGTACGTTTTTTTAAGTACTTTACAACCCTCGCAAGACAAAAGTCTTGCGAGGGTTGTAAAGTGTATGGGCACCTTTAGAGGCAGCAGCATACTGTAACTCTCAGAATTCTTCAAAGCTGTTTCCCCTCATTGGACAATAGAAAAACTTTTGTTTTTTTAAGTAAAATGCAAAATGCTAGAGACTCTGCCATATTTTTTTTTCCATTTACAGAAATAATACTTGTTGGCCATCATCGGTGCTGTATATGGAAACAAGGTCTTCTATGAAGTGGGGCTTGGGGACCAAAAAGAAAGAAAGAAACTGTGGCTGCAGCGGCCTGTGTCCTTTCAAATCCCCGCTGCTCTCCGCGCCTGTGTTGGTGGAGGCAGCGGGGACACAGACCGCTGCATAACGCCGATGCCCCACGTACCTCCGCTGATGTGCCGGCTTCCCCGGTCCGGACGATCCTCCGGTCTCCTGGTCCGGCCGCTTCTCCTCTGCCCGCCCCCCTGCCTACTCTTCATTGCAGGCTCGGAGCCATACCCAGCCTGCTATTGGATATTGTCAAATGCAATAGCCAATAGCAAGCTGGCTATTGCACCCGCCCACTGTCTGCTGTCAATCAGCATGGGGGGACCTGATAGAGAACTTTCTGCTTCAGGCCCCTCTTCTGCTGATTGACAGCAGGCAGTGGGCAGATGCAATAGCCAGCCTGCTAATGGCTATTGTTATTTGAAATATCCAATAGCAGGCTGGCTATGGCTCCCAGCATTAAAATACAAAAAAAAAAAAAAGTTTAAAAAAATTAAATTAAAAAGACAACAAAAATGTAAACAAAAAGTAAAGAAAAAGACAAATAAAAATGCAAACAAATAATAAAAAATAAAAGTTTATAAAATAAAATTAAAAATAGAAAAAAACTTTTTTTTGCTGTGTCATTTTAAATAAAAAAAAATTAAAATTATATTATAATCTTCTGAACAACAGGAACAGACAGCAAAAGAACCATGACCCTTCCCTATGCTATCCAAAACTAAGTTACACTTAAAAAATGTACCTGTTCCGACTTGCATACAAATTCAACTTAAAGGAGAACTATGGGGTTAAGGCTTTTCCCCAAAGTTCTGCTTAGGGTAACGGGAGGACACAAACTAGCGTCC